TCCCACAGGGTCTGAAGTGTTAAAGTACCTGGGGTTTGGGGTGATTCTTGGAGGGCAGGAGGTAGGGGTGGGAGGACTGAGACCTTCATTAGGGATTCCCTGGTGGCCTCAGGTGGGGAGGGCGACCTGTGTGTGGTCCTGTTTGTGTGCTAAGCCCCTTCTGGGTAAATGCCTCCATTAATCTCCCCCTGCCAGGGTTTGAGGGTCAGGTTTCAGGGCCTCAGGCAGATGTTGTCCAGAGTAGCCCTGTTTCCTTAATCCTCAGGGCTCCAGAAACTGTCCTTAGAAGAGAGAACAACAGGCCTGCTGAGGCCACCATCTGTGCGGTCTTGATTTGTAAATGCTCACAAGGGTGGCAGGAAAGAGGTCTCTATAGTAACGGATGGCTGAGGAGGGGGCTCTGTGTGTGTGTGTGTGTGTGTGTGTGTGTGTACAAGGCAGGGGAGAGGGAGGAAGAATCACCCAAGACCCTTATTCCTAGACCTTTTTTTTCCCTGCCCTGATGAGCTATTAATTAATACTCATGGCTGAGTTATTATCCCTGGAGATAATTAGCTTCTGTTCCTAACTGGAGTCTCATGGGGACATTTTCTAAAGAGATTCATTCACTTTTGTCTTTCTTCTGGGACACAAGCAAATATTATAGAACCTGGGGACCCAGAGGAGAGAAAACTAAACAAAGGGGCCTCTTCATGAAGCTAACATTCCCAGCGAGACAAGAAGGGCAGAACCTGAATTAGCAAGGGTCTCGTGCACAGTAAGTGATTAAAAAACAGAACAAAAAAAGAAAAACACCAGCTATGATTATTCCAGAAGGCAGAATGGAGCCCGCGTTTGCAAGTTGCCACCTCTGTGTAAATGGGCCAGTCAGATCCAAAGTCATGCAGCAAGGGGTGGGAGAAAGAGGAAGGACTCTGCCTTTGAGTGGTCCTGAGTCCAAATGTACCAAGTCTGAATCTTCCTCCTGGCCTTTGCACGTGCTGTTTCCCCTGCCAGGAACACACTCCACAACTTCACTTAGCTCACTCCTCCTCTTCCTTAGGTCATAGTTTAGATAGTGGCACCTCCTCCAGGAAGCCTTTCTTGATTCCGCCGTCCTTCCTCAACCTGGACTGGGCCAGGGGATTCCCCTGGGTTCCTACAGTGCTCTCTACTTTGAAAACTCTGAGAATCACCTGGGAGCAACTGTCTTTCCAACTAGAATTTTTTTTTGTTGAGGATGATGACTTGTTCTCCTAGATATACTATTAAGTCAAAAACAGCCTGTTTTGCAAGGTGAGTGTAGAATGCTACCTTATGTATTAAGGGAAAGGGAGAAGTCACTACACACGTATTAGGTGGCTAAAAAGGAAACCGACAATACCAACTGCTGATGAGGACAAGGAGCAACCAGAACTCTCGGCCAGAGCTCACGGGAGGGCAAAATGGTACAGCCACTTTGGAAAAAAAGTGTAGTAGTTTCTTATAAAGTTAAACGCATATTTACCATATGTCCTGGCCATCCCACTCCTAGGTGTTTACCCTAGAGAAATGAAAGCATGTTGCCAATACAAAAGCTTGTACGTGAATATTTATAGCAGCTTTATTCATAATTTCCAAACACTGAAGATGTTCCAGAACCTAATGTCCCTGAGCTCATGAATGGCTAAACAACCCGTAGACCATCCACATAATGGAATACTGCTTAATAATAAAATGAGCCAACTCCTGATACACACAACAACATGGACGAATCTCCAATGTATTATGCTGAGTGAAAGGAGCCAGACACAAAAGGCTGCACATTGTGTGATTTCACTTAAATGACATTCTGGAAAAGGCAACAAACTATGTGGATGGAGATCGCAGTAGTCATTGTCAGGCATTAGGGCTGGGGGGAGGGTACAGACTACAAAGGGGACAAGGGAACTTTTTGGGGTGATGGAACCGTTCTGTATGGATTAAGGTGCTGGATACATGACTGTACATTTGCCAAAATTTATAGAACTGGACACTGAAAATTTATAGAAATGTACACCTATTAAAATATCAATCTTATTGCATGTAGATTATACCTCAATGTGCCTGGCTTTAAAAATAATTCTTAAAAAGGTAGAAAAGGCTTCTGTGGGGGGAGAACGTATAAGCTTATATACACATGGGGTACCTCTAGAAGGGACAGGGAATGGAGTGGACAATGGATGGGAGCTTAGACCTTGTAGGTGCCAGACAGGGGTCCCCATTCCAGCTCCCACACCCACTCGCCGTGGTCCTTGGGCAAGCCCCTTCCCTCTCTAGCCATCAGTAAATGGGGCATTTTATATCTGCTCTGCAGCCTAGAAGAACTGGCAGGAGAATCCAGGAATCCTGGGTGTAAAGACATTCTCTGCTCTCCTGGAGGTACAGGGGGACCCTGAAGGAAGGCAGTGGGGGGGAGCACTGAGGAGCCTGAGCTCCAGGGCCAGGTGACAGGGCTATGTTCTGATCCCAGCTCTGCTGCTTGCTTTTTGGGTGGTCTTGGGCTACTTACTTAGCCTCTCTGTGCCTCAGTTTCCTCATCTGCAAAATGGGAACAACAGTAGCTATCTTCTGGGGTTGTCCTGGGGCCTTTGGAATACTTGGCATATAGAATGTTTGGCACAGAGCCTGGCACAAAGTAAAAACTCAAAAGGGAGAAAAGGAAAGGATAGTTGGTTTTCCTGTGTGACCTGAGGAGCTGCGTTTTGATCCTGGCCTGAATGACCAGGCCCCTGCCCATCTCTCTCCAATCATATTTCCTACAAATCCCCTCCAGCCTTGCTCATCCACCAGCACACCCATTAGGGCCTGTTCCCCCGCCCCACCCTTCTCCCACCCCTATTCCCACCTCCACCCACTCCCACTCCCACCCTCTCTCCCACCCCCAGGGCCTTTACACAACTGTTCCTTCGGCCCAATATTTGTTCTTTAAATATTCCCATGGCCATCTCCTTCTCGCCTTCCAGATCTCAGCTCAAATGCCCCTATCTTGAGAAACCTATCCCAACTACCCAGCTTAAAGCAATGTCCCCCTCACCAGCCAGTCACATTCTACTGCAGGGGTCGGCAAACTACAACCTGAGGGCCAAATGAGCTGCTGCTGTTTTTATAAATAAAGTTTTATTGGCACAAAGTCACATTCACTTATGTATTCTCTGAGGCTGTTTTTGAGCTACAATGGCAGAGTAAGTAGTCACTACAGAGACAGTCTGACCCGCAGAGCCAAAAATACTTACCTCTGGCCCTTTACAGAAAGAATTTTCCACCTCTGCTCTATCAGTTTTCTTCACAGCGGTCACCACTACATAAAATTACCTTGTTCTTTTTCTTTCCAAAGTAAAAAAGTTTTTTTTTTTTTTAAGGAGAGGAACAAACGAACAAACAAACCAGCTATCCCCAGGTTGTACTCCCATTTTTCCTTTTCCTTTTGTAACAAGCTCTCTGCTCCTCTTTTGGGTTTGCAAAGTCACAACTGGCCTCCAAACAGGAGGCAGGATGGAAGATTCAGACAGAGTGTTTTTAGATGAGTTCAATCAAGTCACACACTTGACAGTGAACTTGTTAAGTACCTACTATGTATGAGAATCCCATACGTACGTCCTCTGCACCCACACCCCATGGTTTTAACTTAAATACATCAGTGGAGTCAACCGTTGGTTTGGGCATCCTTGTTGATAGATGCTGGGTGCCTTACTCAAGGCTTCTGGCTTCGTGGTTCATTGCAAATTCCACAAAATGAGCAGTCCCATCAGGGACTTTCCTATTGGAGAGTGCACAAGCTAGGACAAAAATCTTTCTATGGTCACTCATACTAACATTTGCATATAGTTATATTTTAATGTCTCTATGTTCCGTAAAGGCAAGGTTGGTTGCTGGATTCATGTATGTGTCCCCAGTGCCTGATACAACAGAAGTCTGTCGAGTAAATAAATAGATGGAAAGTCTCAGAAAATAACAATAGCTACATTGTTGGAAAGCTTGCCATGTCCAGACATTATTTCTAGTACTGGGCAAAAGGAAAAATAGGAAGGCTGACCTTGTCTTTATTTAAAATGTGATATTTTGTTCATCGTGGTTTTTAATTTTTTACATAAACTTCGATTTCTTAAAACATTGCATTGATTTCAGCTTAAATGTTGCTGCAAAAAAGAAAAAGAAAAAAACTTTGCGTTGAAATACTATTTATCTTGGTTACTGAATTTTTTGATGCCCCCTTAAATTTTGCACCTAAGATGGGTGCCTCCCTCGGTTCACCCAAATCCCTGTCCTGATTATGTCCAACATGCAATCCACACCTTATCATTCATTCCTCATCACAATGCTCTGAGAAGGTACAACTATTATCATCACTTTGCAAGAGAAACTGAGGCACACAGAGATTCAAATATACCCAACATCCCAAAGCAAAGAGGAGAAAAATCTGGATTTGAACCCTGCTTTGCGTGTTGGCTCGGAGACTTCCCAGTAAAGCACTACAGTAAACTGAGTTATGAGTTAGGTTTTGAGCCAAAGAATCAAAAGGCATAAGCTTGGGCCCTATTTCTGTCCCAGGCTCCTCTGAACCCTCCATTCTCACAGACCTCAGTTTGCCTAGGTGGAACTGGACTTAAATACTCTCGACACCCTTTATTTTTCCCCAACACAGTTTACCAGCTTCCTCTCTCCTGGCCCAGCAATAGCACAAGCTGGGAATGGGAAGAAGCAGATACCAGTCAGAGCTCCTGAGCCACCTGGGAGCTCAGGAACCCAGGAATAGGCTGGGCCGATTGAGGAAACTCTAAGGGCCATAGTGAGTGCTACCTCTCCATCCAGAAAACCCCTAACCTAGCTTTTGGGCAGATGCCAGACTTTTATTCTGAAGTCGAGGCCACAACCTATGAGGTAATCTTTGGAGCTTCACTCCGAGGCGGAGTCCCATTGGCCGGCTGGTGAAGCCCCTCCCAAGGTTCCCGGGGCCCCGCCTTCCCCAAAGCCCATAAAAGCGCGCGTCCCCCCGCCTCGACAGCCACCCGGCACCTGCATCTGCCAACAAGACTGGAAGCAGGTGAGGCACACAGAGGAAGGGCCAAAGCTGCGTGGGGGAGGGGTGACCTAAGGGAGCCAGGACCCCGGGGATGGGGCTAGCTTGCGGGTCAGCGCATGAACATCTTCCCAGAAAGCGACAGGGGCGGCAAAGTTTGACGGTCTGGAAAGCGGAGACCGACCGGGTTGGCTGCCTGGGAGGTAAGTTGCTGGAGCATGCCACGGGGTGAGGAGCAGGCATAGAGTCCTAGTTGCGACCCTTCCGTGTCTGCCCCCTCTGCATTCTGAAGCTCCTCGGGAAGAGGATGGGGGAGAATTTGGGGGGGGGTGTCTTGAGAGTCAGAGGAACAGAGGAGAGAACGAAGGGGATAGGGGAAGCCGGGCAACAGAGGGAGGAAGTCAAGTTTTCTTCAGCACTGAGGCTGAGGACAGTTCTCAGCCGATCACGGAAAGAAATTACTGTTTATTTCAGCACCGAGCCCCGGACAGTGCCTCTTGGGGTCTGGGAAGGGAACCACCATCCGTTTCAGCACCAGGCACCGGACAGCTCCCAGCGGGTCCGTTTCAGCACCAGGGCTCCGGACAGCTCCCCGGTAAAGGGACCGCCCTTTCCCCTTGATTTTGGGGGGAGGAGGGGGGGGGGCAGGGAAAAGAGTGGCCTGTGGTGCCTGACGGCTCTGGAGACTTGTCCCTCACCGCCCTTTCCCCTTGATTTTGGGGGGAGGGGGGGGGCAGGGAAAAGAGTGGCCTGTGGTGCCTGACGGCTCTGGAGACTTGTCCCTCACTTAATGGATTTTTTAAAAGCAAATTATTTTCCACATGAGCAGGTGAGATAAAAGTGCACACAGAAGTCTGCAATTTCCAACAGGTAAGATGGGCAATTGGTGGGGGAACGGGTGCCTGCCAAGGTGTCATTATCGTGCCCCTTTGGACTTCTCTGAGAAATATTGCACCAAGTGTTTTACATTCTATCATGCCATCTTCAACCGTAGGACATGGGTGTTATCACACTCAGGTGACAACTGAGGAAACAGAGGTCCCAAGGGGGGCAGGAAGATAACTAGCTCGAGGGCTCTCGGCCCAAGGATGAAGCTGTATGTCAACCCTACACCAGTGCAACTCCAAATTTTATGTTTTTGACGTGCTTGGATGGGAGTTGGGCCCTTGGAAATCAGACCCTGCCTTTCTCCAGGATTATCGGGAATGCAAAAACAGGAGGCGGTACAGAAGCAGGAAGCTCAGATGTCACAGCTTGGCTCAGGTGAGGGGACACCTTGGCAGGGATCTCAGACATGGGAAAGAGTTTGAAGAAGACTAGAGTGGTGTGGTCTAGTGCTGTGTGGAAGACTAGTGATTTTGTTGTTCTGATGTACTACGACAACAAGTCACAGCCGGCCTCATAGCGCGGACTCCCTTCGACTTTCACCTGAAATGAAGAAGCAAGTTGGTGAGGGGGGGCGGTCAGGAAGGAATTGCTTCCACCCAAGGGGTGGTCTGGTTAATTCCATGGGATACAGGGGAGAGAATCAAACAAGGAAATGCCCTCCTCCCATGAAAATGTAGCTCTGTGCCTTGTACAGTTTTGGCCATGTCACCTGTATGGCCCCACAGGCCTGGAGATACAAAATATCTGACTATAAACCCAGGGCCCTTAACCACCTCATGACACTTTCCTGAGGGAATCAGTGAGGGAATGGCTTTTGAAGCCCTCCCTACACCAGGGTTCTAAGGATCCTTTTCAACAAAAGTTTCAGAAATGTTTTTTTCTCCCCTCCCCAATCAGTTCCTTGGACCAATCACAGGACAAGTGTGAATTTGTGCCTGGTAGTGAGTTGTGGCAACATTGATGCTCACCCTTAATTCTCTGCAGCCTCTCAATCAAGTCACAGGCAGCACGCGGAACTCATTCCAGCCTCAGGGCCTGTGCCTTTGCTGTTCCCCCAGCTTGGAATCCACTGCCCACCCCCCACCCCCCATGGCTGACTCTGTCTTCTTTCCAAGCCCCATTTCACCAGGAGAAACTTTCCTTGTGGCCTCAGCACTGCTCATATGAAGTCTGTGTTTACATTCTCATAGGCCTGGAATATCATGTCTCCAGTCCAATTATTTTGTGTTATCTGCATACGTGTCTGTCTCCCTGCTACACTGTGAACTCCATGAGGGCAGAAACAATGTTTGTATTTTCACTGCTGTGTCTCCAGCGCCCAGTCCAGGGCCTGACACACAGCAGGTGCTCAATAAACATTTGTAGAATCAATAAAGGCGTCAAAGAATAATATGTCAATCAATAAATGAAGTGATAGCTTCAACACACACGAAGATCCTTCTTCTAGATCTCCCCCACAGAGATACCGTAGGAAGATGGTTGCTGCAGGTGTTTATTGGGGGAATATAATTAAATTTGTGGACACTCAAGGACCAGCCAACCAACTAATAACCCCAGGAGACAGCCAGACTCGTTTAATTAACAATTAGGAGGCATTGATTCCTCATTAGCTCTGGCAAGCCCGTCTCCCTCTTCAGCCCCAGACAAATGAAATATTTCTCTCTCCCGGGAGTACTGCCTCAGTGGGTCCATTAACAAGCAGAGAAAATATGATTATAAGACACCTAAATGCCAGAGGCGCTTCATGAATGAGGCAGGCAGAGGGGGAGGGGTTCAGTTCGATGTCTGAGTGAAGTCTAATTGTGGGAGATATTCTGGTATATTTAGAATTGCCCTCTGGGAATGGGAGAGCTTTCAGAAAGGAAAAGGCACACAGATACTGCCTTTTGGGGTCTTCAGTGTAAGAGAAGAGTTTGCCCTGTGTGTCTCACAATCACCCTAAATGAATCCTTTCAAACCGAACACCTAATCTACTCAACCCCCAGACTGCCCCCCACCCCATGTCTCCATCAATGGGGCAGCCCCTCCACATCCCAAAGACCCCTTCTCATCCCATAGACCCCAACGCAAGTTGTTCTGCTTAAATACATTCCCTCTTCTTTAGCCCTCTGCCCGCCTGCATGCCCTGGTCTCCTCTGTGTACCCCGGTGTCCTCATGGTCTGTTTCCCCCTGCGTGTGTGTGTGTGTGTGCACACACAGCCAGTTCATTCTCCACACACAGTGAGAGGTCTTTCTAGAACACAAATCTGATCAAGTCCCACTCCTGAAGGATAAAATCCAAATACTCTCCCATGGCCTACATGACCTAGTCCCTCACTGCTGAGAGTAATTTCCTATCATATTCCCACCAGCCACACCTGACCGCTAGTCCAGCCAGGACTCTTGCTTTGATTCTCCAACTTTAGTGTGAGGACAATACCCCTAAGAAGATTGCAGAGAATGCAGATTCCCAGGATGCTTCAGGTTTCAAAAGGGCATGGGTGGGGCAGGCCCAGGAACCTGCATTGAGACATGCTTCTGCACTGACTTTTGTTAAAGATCCACAACATTTTATTTCTCCCAAGGAAAGAAGATTGCAGAGAATGCAGATTCCCAGGATGCTTCAGGTTTCAAAAGGGCATGGGTGGGGCAGGCCCAGGAACCTGCGTTGAGACATGCTTCTGCACTGACTTTTGTTAAAGATCCACAACATTTTATTTCTCCCAAGGACGTCTGGAAGCTCTCGGTTCATCTCACCAGTTTCATCTTTTCAACCAGCCCACCCCCATGCCCAGCTCAGTACTGGCACCCAATAAATATTTACTTGGAATATAAATGCCGTGTCTGAGCCTCTTTCACCTTCATCACACACAAAATCATGGAGGCCACACACCCCCATAAAGCTGAACCATCATCCACAGAGGTCCAGCCAATCTCCCATCCCCTCCTTGCCACCCCAAGGAACCAGCCTGCAGCTGCTCAGCATCTGTAGAAACAAAAAAAGGTGAATGAGATTCCATCCTTGCCCTCCTGGGCTTTGCTGCTGTGGCTGATTAATTTGATAGAGGAACAAATTATACCTTGTTTCTTGCTGATGTCTTGTTGGAAAAAAGTGAAAGATGTATATCCCCTCCTCCCTTGTCCAGAGTGCAATTAAATTCTGCCGTTAACCCCCCAGAGTTAGCATCAGATTCCACAGGTTAAAAGCACAATGTCCAACAATACTGCCCTCACTTCAGATGCCAGTCAAAGTTCAGGGGTCTTCAGGCTACCTACATGTCTGACTAACTGGCTTCAAATTCAGGAGTTCCCACAAATTCTTCAGATTTGATAATTTACTAGGAATGACTCAAGGAACTCAGGAAACAGCTGTACTTACAATTACAGTTTTATCATAAAGGAGGCAAATCAGGATGAGCCAATTGAAGGGCCACATAAGACAAGGTTTAAGAGGATCTCAAGGGCCAGCCTGTGGCTCACTCGGGAGAGTGTGGTGCCGATAACACCAAGGCCACAGGTTCGGATCCTATATAGGGATGGCCGGTTTGTTCACTGGCTGAGCGTGGTGCTGACAACACCAAGCCAAGGGTTGAGATCCCCTTACCGGTCATTTAAAAAAAAAAAAAAAGAGGATCTCAAATGCAGACCTCTCTCATCCTCACCCCACAGAATCAAGACATGTCACCCTCTCAGCACATCAATGCATTCACCAACCAGCAAGCTCCACTGAGCTTCTACGTCCAGAGTTTTTATTGGGGTTACATTACGTAGGCATAATTGATTGAATCATTGGCCACTTGATTAAACT